CGACGAATAAACAAAGTCCAACGCACTGGGGAGGATTTAAGGAAGAACATCCTGGAAGCCGGTGGCATGCAGACAAAAGCAAAGGTGCAACTGAAACTCGTCCTTGATGCTGAGGCAGATGTCGAGATAAACATTTGGCTGTCCTACGGTAAGCGGTGTCGGTAATTTTACGTTTCTTCGTCGATTTTATTATTAACACTTTCTGGCCACGGATCAGTCATTCTCAAGGCTTCCTGGTCGCCATCATACGATATACGGGTCTCCACAACAGATAAGAAACTTAGCTTAACCTACAAGGCAGAAGTACGCCAAGCTACAGGGGAGGATTGGACCAACGTGGAAATGTCGCTGTCAACGGCCATGCCGACATCAGCCGGAGACTGCCCAGAGTTTGCGAATCCTTGGACCATTAGTACTTTTCGGATGCCAGTAGTGAGACCAACCGTTCGGAGTCTTATGGCGCGGGGCTCAGCCTTTGGTGCTCCGCCGCCCATGGCATCAGCTCCCGCTCCGATGGTGGGTGCTTTTGGAGGGGCACCAGGTGGTGGGTCATTGTTCGGTTCGACTGCTGCCGGATTCGGTGCGGCTGCAAAAGCCTCTCGGAGCGATGATATGATCGATTATGAAGATCAAGATGTCCAGACATTAGCTGCCCCAGCGCAGATGATACACCAGGTGGCCCAAGCAACTTCTGGGTTGGTGTCCGCATCCTTTCATATCCAAACGAAAGCCAATATTCCCAGCGATAACGTCCCACATACGGTAACTGGTAGGTACACTTTCGTGTTGCGCAAGACAATTCATACGGTGATTCTCACGTATTCGGCCTCTTTGGATTAAAAGTCGCCCTCCTCAAGTTGGTGCCTGCATTCGAGTACGCGGCTGTTCCAAAACTTTCTCCTGCAGCCTATCTCAAAGCGAAGCTGCGCAACACATCGGAGTACGCATTACTTCCGGGGCCCGCCAACATTTTTGTTGACGGGAACTTTGTTGCGAAATCATCTCTCAAGAATGTTGCACCCGAAGAGGACTTTGAGTGTTCTCTAGGGTAAGGGCCATCGTTTTTTTGTCTTGCAGTAATGTAATCTTACATATGTTCAATCGTGACGGTCTCTCTCCGTATCATATAGCGTCGACCATGCCATTCGTATCACGTACAAACCGGTGACAAAATCTCGCCAGACCGCCGGTGTTTTCAGCAAAAACGTTACTTTGCGCCATACTCAGCGCCTCAATGTCAAAAATACCAAACGTGTAGCAGCCACCTTGCGTGTTTCGGATCAAGTACCCATTAGCGAGGACGAAAAGATCAAAGTCACCATAGTAAAACCTGTGAATGGGGAGGCCTCTAAAGATATGGACGTGGCTCATAAGGATAAAGGGCTTATTGAATGGACGCTCACGGATGTGCAGCCTGCCAGCGACCTGGACCTGGAGCTTGTGTATGAAATTACATATCCGCAAGGGACAATTGTTTCTGGTATGTACCCATTTCCAGATTGATGGCTGATGTAGCAGGGTTTGATGCTCAACACCCGATGGTCTCCTAGGAGTTTGATGACCTTGACGCTATCCGGGATGCTGTTTTATCATGGATACAAACGTTCACAGATCTTCATTATATACCCTTTGTGTACTGTTAGCAAAAGCCAAGAACCGTACATCCATGCTGCTTTGAATGTATATTGTTTTAAGTTAGGATCTTGTTTGGAGGACCTCCCCTGATTTCTGATTTATGAAGAATGTCCAATGTCCCCGGTGGACAATAAACTGGCGATATTTCGTATGCGAGTTCAGACAAAGTGGCCAGAGGTTGACATCAGTAAGTCAGCTAGTATATACTGTTGGCAAAGAAAACATCATCAAATTCGAACCTACGGTGAAAGCGTTATCCATAAAAATGCAAATGAGGGCAGTGCGGTGAGTAAAGCAAACCTCACTGGAGCTGTACTATCTGTACTACAAAATTCCTTGATGGCTGCATCATGTCAATTCCCCACAAAGACGGAGGCATCAAATACGGACAGGAAAGGTAAGGAACGATAATAGAAATCAGTGCGAGTGCCTTCCGTCCCACATCGACAAGTCCTATGTAGGAAATCCAGCAGTGCCTTTTCTGGAACATCACAATACTGCATGGGACGAGGGTGTGGAGAAATGATTGGGACTCTCGATGAAAGTCTCTTGTTTACATTGGAAAGATTTCCTCCGAGACTGGATGGGCAATTCGAAGAGCCTAAGTATCCAGCCACTATTCATTGCCAATTCTGGTATCCTGCACTGAGCTTTGAAAGGAAGAGAAGCAAGTGTGTTTGTTTGACAAGGAGGTGATGGCCGCGCTGTGACAACGTAGCGCTCCAATGAGGAATGCCTGATAGCAGAAGCTTGAGTCGGCCACTGACATACGTAGCGCATGATGATCCCTTCGAGCACCTCGTCCGAGTCAGGTAGGTCAGCTAGGAACCCAAGCTGCCCGCGAAGGATGTGCATGTGCAAGGACGTTACTTTCAAGCGTCCAGTTAAATCGGGATTTTCGCCACCATATCCAGCATCGTCATACCCAACAAGGTTTGCGGGCATGTATGCCCGCAGGATGTTCAGAAGCCTATTCCGTAAAGATGTGGGCATGCCACTTGCATTTACATGGTTTCAAAAGATTCTTCTAATGCAAACTAACCAACATGTCTTCCCCCCTCTGGTGCATTCTCGAGTTGCAAGCACGGCTGTCTCTATGTTCATTCATTCATATTCCACGTAGTCATACGTTCACTCATGTCGTTGGTTCTGACAAGTCGCCGTCGACAGCCCCGGGATTAATCGGACCATCACTGCTTTCCTACTTTTGCTGCTCGCCGTGAAAGCAGTCAATTTTTGAAGAAATCTGAACGTGTTAGTTACATCTACCATTAGTTTCGTGCTGCTTACTTGTCAGGATCTACTTTGGCTGAGTCGCTTACCAAGACACAAGCGGCAGCAAAAAAGTAGAAATCACACCGTGGAAATAACAAGCGATGAACGAAATGTCCTTCTGGTTGCGAAAATGTCCTTTTGGTTGCTGTTCTTCACTGCCCCACACGTGTAGCTTCAGCTGGTTTTTGGCGAAATCGGTAATCTGAAAGGGCTGCGGGTCGCCCACGCAGCTGAACGGCAGATGCGCCGCTCTCTTGCCGCCAAAAAAAAGGACAATAGTCTTGGCGGGCGCATGTCCAAAGCTCAACAGTCTGGTCTATAAAAGGAGCCCATGTGGAGGACTCCACCAGTTTTAGCAAGCTTTCTGCATCAACCTCATCGACATCCAAGTAGGTAAAGAGCCCCATCATCAAATATCCCAACAGTACACACAGCTTACAATGTCCCACTCAGCTTTACAATGAAGATTCCCGCGATTGCCGCTGTTGTTGGCCTCCTTGCTACCCCCGCCCTGGGCTTCCAGCTTGACGTCTACACTCAGGACAACTATGCTGGCCAACACAAGTCCCTCACCAACACGGGATCCCTCTCTGGCCAATTCCATTCCTACAAGTGGCAAGGCACTCGTTCCGGCCATTGCGCCCAGTTCTGTAACGGAAACAGGGACCTTGGTTACCGCTGCGATGATTACAGCAACAATGCCATCTGGTTTACCAAGGCCATTGTTTACAAGTACCCTAACAAGCCTGGATGTTAAGAGCGATCGTCATTGGATTAGTGCAAAATGATGGGTTGCCGAGTTTTGAAGATGGTGTTTTACTCTATGTTTAGATTTCGCTCATAATAAATGCATTTGACATGGTCACGAAAATTCATTGGTTATTCTCGTATCAGAACATATTCGCTACAGGTTGGACACAATGGGTTCCGCTCCTGTGCTGCCACTCGATATCCCATCGTGTCAAGATCCTTCATCAGCGCTATCACGCTATGCAGCCACGTTCCTTTTGTAGGCACTTGTCCAGGCTCCCCGGTGTGAACTTCAACCAGGATTTGCTTTGGAAGGAATGACTCTGTCTCAGCTTTTAAGCTCTCAAAAACCGGCCATTCAAACCTGCCAAAAAAAAAAAAAGAAATCAATTGCCCTGTTTGATTGCGAAACGTGTTCTAGCAAATCACCTACCCCTCAATATCCATCTTTAGGAGCGATATGTGCGATATTCGCAATTCCTTGGCTATAGTGGAGAGCCGCTTGTAAGTCCGCCCGTCAATCACCTCATCTTTATCGCCGATACACCTAGAATGCAAACCAAGGTCTAATCAGCACCTAAAAGCTCGACCTCAAAACAATCCACATGCCTATACCAGGAATGGAAGCTGGTCACCCTATTCGACCACTTGCCGGTGCAATCAAAAGTATGTATTTTGCACTTTCCTTTCGTCAGCTTGGATATCGACTCTTCAAACTGCCCTGAAGTGAGACCGGCGCGTCAGATGGCAAGTTAAGACAAGCCGCGTACATGGAAGTTCCCGTTGGATCCTAGCGAAAAGATGTGACAGTCGTCCTTGCCAATATCCAGCAGCTCTGTGCACATCCATTTCCCACCGTCCCCATCTTCACCAATGCTATCGTATTCATGCGAATGAATATTTAATGTCAAATAAGATCAATCTGGATCACCGTACCGTTTAAGCTGGTTGGCGTCGCATTGGTACGTTACAGGAAGAAGATCGAGAACACTGTAGCCTGGCTTTTGGTCTTGAAAGCGCTTTACTGCCGGATGCCCAAGCGGAAGCTCCTCCAACATTTCCAGCGTGCTTAATACAGCCTTTCTATAAAAAAGATGCAAGAACTCAATGCTGTAGCCCGTCAGGTACTCGGAATACATGATCTCACCTTCTAACATCGTTCCAGCATTTCTGAGACTTGCTCCAGTCGCTTATATCTACCTCCTGTTTGAAGCAATCAAGAGCTTCCTCAGCAATAGCCCCTTGAGAAGAACCAAAGGAGAACGATCGCAGGCGTCGCGGTGTAGACGGGTGAAGATTGAGACCAAAGAAGAGCACCAGAGCGCAGGTGACTATAGCTGCTGCAATGCATATACTACGAGATCGAAGTCGGCGGACGGGCCCTTCGTTCACCTGGTGCATAGTATTGGATATTGACGCGTCAAGAAGACATGTCGTCCTGGAGAACGCGTTCTGTTAGGCTTACGCTAGCACATGTTGGAACGACTACCGTGCTCGATGTGTGGGTACTTTTCCTTACATATGTGAAACTCAAGTGTATGGATCCTCTATGCGACACTATCCACATTCGCAACTTTTCCACCTCACCGTCTATCTTTAGAAACCAACCAAGAGAAGCAAGGAGGGAGATGGGCTTTCGTTTATGATGACCTAGCCAAAGGCGCGGACATAAGAGGCGTCAACCGCTTCTGTTGGCCTTTCATACTAGTGATAGTACATCTGTACAGATCGGTCCCTTCCTCCGAGAGATGCTTGAAACATTGCTTAGAGAGCATCCACCAGTGTGCTGTTAATCCATGCTTGACTCCCTCTACATTGCTACTCATACGACTGGTGTCTGTAGGAATTGGAATGCTGTCATGAGAAAGGAGAGGCGAGAACTTTCTCCACGACATGTCGTATGCTCTTTCCAATGTCGATACCTTGGTACAACGATGCGCTACAATACTTGCCCTGCCGTAATCAAGTTTGAGTCCAGTCTTTCTCTTTGCAGGGAATCAGGTTCTTTTACAAAAGCTTTATTGGTCGGCGTGCTTGCTTCAAGGTTCAGCATGTTGCTGGGAAGAGCCACGAGCTGAAGCTGGTTTTGCTTTGACATCTTCGCAGCCAGATCATCTCTCTCTCCGGCGCAATATTGACCAAAATATTGTCCATCAGCTCATGGGCTATACTATCTGTCTGCTTTTCCCAGAAAGGAACAACTATGTGACTGATCTTCACCCGCAACTGTCAAGATGAAAGAGCCAAGTTCCGAATGTCGCGAGACCACATTTGCGAACGATTGATGGCGTTACTTGCCTAAACCAACGCTACTTTGGCACGGATAACCACAATTCCTGAGCTTGTTAAGATAATAGACTGGTCAAATTCAAATGGAACAATGACGTCGGAGCGTTAAGCCTAAGGCAGCATCGAAAGCTGTACTCAAAACCAATAACATTCTTCTCCGTGGAAGCAGTTCAAATCGCTTCTTGGAAAAAACTATGGAACCACGGAACGTTAACGTCCATATGGTGGTTAGCAAGGCCTTGCGCCAAAGTCCTGTTAACTGCAAAACCAGTTTTAAATACATGAAAATCAATATATCTAATTTAATTTCTCTTCTAACAAGCCCAATCTTAGCCATAGCCAACTTCTGTCCAATTACCTACCACCGGCCACTTGGACTGGTCGCTACCGTCCAATACTGTACAAATCTGATCAGGGCCACCCCTAAATACTCTTGCACTCGGTCTAAGCGTTGTAAAGAGTGCAGTTTCCCCAAATCCTGATCTTGAGACGACGTGGTAGTCCATATCCAACTGGACAAGCCAGTCGAGATAAGCGCGCCAGTGTGTTCGTTTGTGCGCGTTCACGTCCAGCTGCGGCGTCTTGTCTATGTGAGTTATCGGACCTGCAGTGATAGGCAACCGTGTCAGAAATGGTGCAATTAGATACACTCGGAAGACAAAAGGCAGCGGACGTTGATCGAAGCTTTTGTAGTGCAATCCGAGTGGCATTCGTAATATCAACCCGAGCCCAAAGCAGTATGATCGGGGTCCGCTGCCTTATGTCCACTGAATATCTGTACAAAGAGGACAGCCAAACTAACCAGCAATTGCGAACGACTTGTATCCAAGGGATGTGAGTGATCGGCTCAGAGTCTTCTGTGCCTGTGTAGAATCTGCGGTTATGAAGAAGATAACCTCGCTCTTGCGAAGCCCTCGATCAAGCGCAAACTGCACTCCGCGTGCGACGTAACATACGGAGGCGTCGAGCGGCATCCGACCCGCAACGTCAGCCGCAAACGCTGGCTCCCCCGTACCGCCGCCAGCGCGAAATTGAATACCGATTTTAATGGCAGATCTGTAGCCGTCGATATCGCTGCGCACAGCTTCCAACATCTGCTTTAGCGGTGGTGAAGGTGCGAATAGCGCACGTATCACGGTTCCCAACAAGGCTTCGCGGTTGAAGGTAAGGAGCGAGTACCACTCAATTAGCGGCCGCCAATATGGGTTTTGAAGCATGAGGTGTAAGAGATCCATATTCGCGTGCAGGTACACAATATCAGCATCAATCCACGGGTCAGGCTTTTCATAAAGACTCTTGGCGTTTGCAGTTGTGTCGACCAAGTCAATCAGACTGACTTCAATGGTCTTTCGGCCTGTAGCCCAAGACTTGTCGAATCTCCAGTCGAAGCTTGCCGGTATGAGATAATCTTCCAGTGCATCCGGGAAACTTATATCAATACCGAGCGACCGGTTGGTAAATACACCGTAGTATACGGATGTAATCGCTCCTTTCACTCGATCCCCAAGACCCCCGCAATATGTGCTTCGGCAAACTAACACAACCCAACGCGATGTCCGTGGGTTGGCTCGCGCTGTTTGCATAGACTGCTCGTAATCGCGTAGCATCCGATCGAGGCCAAGCCGATGCTTCACTCGATCCGCTGTTAAGGCGCCTAATCCAGTAAAATTGTGAACTACATTGAATGTTTCCGAAATCGCTAGATCTGCTTTTCCCGCATCTGCATCGGCTGGATAGACTGACACGGGCACCTTCGGAGGGTTTGTCACGTCCGTAGGAATGGCAGGACTATGATCCTATCAGAGAGCTAAGTGGTCATATTTCGATGCGAATGAATATTGCAATACCTACCACAGAAACACTGCTATTAGCAGCAGATTGCCAAGGAAGGCTACTCAATGATACCTCTCCGTTCTTACAACCGAATGTGTTCTGCAGTGCCCAGACCGGCTGAAAGATTTCATCTGAGGTGACAGGGCGTGTCATTGCGTCCTTTGGGAACACTCCGAGAATTCTCCATCCCGCAAACAACTTTGGCAGTCGCAAAGGCCCGTAAATACGGTGAGCATTCCAATCGAGCCGGTCAAAACAGCATGGAACGCCAATGAACATGAAGCCGCCAGGTTTGACAACTGTCAGCATCTTGGCCATCGTCTGGAGATCACCGGATGGATTCAAGTTGTCGCCGTAGCGTCCCAAGCCGTCGTGCTCCAGAGAGGAGTACGTGAAGACAAAGTCAAAAGGGCGTATTGAACCCTGAATAAATCCCAGCGAGAACTGCTTCGGTGTGAACGTGGTAATCTGAGGATGTTTTGAGTCGATGGACCCAAACTCTAGAGTGGTAACATGTTCCGCGCCATATTCAAGCAAGAAGGCTTCAAGCCACGGATTCTCTGAGCCTATGACAAGGCCGCGTTTGCCTTTGACTGCGACCGCTGCGTGGGCGTTGAGCACGTCGTAAATAGGCTCATTGGGATAGTTGAACCCGGCTACTTTCTTGCGCACTCCTTGCCGGTAAAGTTCCACTTGTTCCTTGGTCCAATCTGATACGAGAGCTTTATTGCCAAGATAGGCCTTTCCGGCAAGAAAATCTTAGCTGAAGGTAGTCGAATATCGCAGTTGGCTGGATCTTATGTCCAAATTTCACACCTGATCAAAATACCGCTGAACTACAGGAATACTCCCATTAAATGTATAGTCATCCAAGAGAACTGATGGGATCTCGGAAGGAGCAGGACCATATCTTGCTGCACAGAAATGTGTCAGATGGATGCAATACAATGAACCGCAGCGATTGGTATCGTGTCAATTCTACATTGACGGGAACACACCTGTTTCCGCTTTTAGCCAGGCTTCGAGGAGTGGGAACTCTGGTTTGGCCAGAGGCTTGATATGAGCAGTGGCCGCATCCACATCTGGCTCAACCCAGACACAATCCCTATTGACAGGTTGCACTGCATCCGCACGGCTGGATGCTTCTGTAGTCTCTTCGTTCGTTAAAGCGGAATGCACCTCCGGAGACCCGAGAAACATGGGTTTGCGCAGCAGATCGCGGGGCAGGAGTAGAAAGCTGAGAGACAGCAAGCATATGAAGAGGACGCCGGTAGCGTTGCGCAGGAGTCGCCATGAACAAAACGCTTGATTTGCAAACATTGTCACTCCACCACTCCACATTGAAACTTCGCAAGCAAGTACCATGAAAAGTCAGGACTGAATTGATGGACGCGTTGAAGGACGCGTCCTGCTGCGCACGATCATTACAATCGCCAGCGGAAGTGTTTTCTCCTTGCAAATCGCTGCCAGCAGGCAGTCCCACTCCTCCAGAATATTGCCACAGATCATTCATCCAAACTCTTGGCTGCGTATCACCTTTATTTGACATTGAATACTACTACACAATATCCTACGACTAAGCCAAAAACATATAATAGGCTACTGATGAAGAATGATAAGAATGTCAAATCAACATAAATCGCTGTTATTTCTTTGGTTTTTCCTTGGGAACGACGGTTTGCTGTGCAGAGAAGGAAGATCCAGTTAAAGATGCATCTGAATAGCTCGGCAACTCATCCTCGATGATTGGATTGGGTGTCAGGAGGAAGGGGTCTTGACGGCTTCTTTCCTCGTCTTCCTCACCACCATTGACCGGGAGGTAGATAAATCCTACAGGAGTCACACCATACTTTTCTGGGTAATCGCGGAGCTCTTGGTAGTAACTCCAAATACAAAGACCAAAGTAGATCTAGAGGCAGGGTAAATGTCAATAAGGAGACGCCGGGTCTAGCTGCAGTGAAGCGAAAAACTGAAAACACCAAGTCCTTACGGAAACAGCGAAGCACAGCCCTCCCACAATCGTATAGGCCGCAAAAGCAACCTTGATCAAGAGATTACAATCGGTATTATTCTCATAGTTGTGTTGTCGGCAAAACTCTTCCAACAGCGGAGCGCTTGCCGTGAGAGCGATCACAGTTAAGATGAAAACAAAAAGCGACAGGGCGACACTAATCCACTTGTAGATGGCAAAAGCTTTCACGTAAACAATGCGATTCTACCACCGAGAACATAGCGGCGTGAGGAAATGGCTGGAATACACCACAAGACAATAACAAAGGCAGTTACCTTGATGGCACCATAAAGTCCTAACCCCACCATAGCCATGTCGAACCAGCGCAGTGAATTGATTAGAGGTGAATTGAGTACGGGTGCATTGGAAGATTTGGGTAACAGTGCATTCGGAGAAACGATGTCATTCAACTACAGAACAGAGCTGCAATTTCAATCCTAGGTTGCGCATACTTGTACTTGATAAAACGATCGTTCCTACCAAGAGAATCGTCGCAATGATGATAAACCCAGTGCGCAGATCTATGCTGCAGCAGCAGCTTCCGAGTACTGGCATCCTTTTTCCGAATAGTGCGCTGTAATGCAGACGAAGCTAGTGTTAAATTCTTGGCGGAGAGAAAGGTTTTGTGCTTTGAGGAAAAGCGTTCAGCTGCTTATAAGTTGCTGATGGTAGTCACGTGCCAAGCGCCTTGAGCGCCTCTCAACAAGCTGAAACTCGCCATTCCGCAGCCCATTACCATTATGTTTGTTGAGCTTTGCTTGTATTCAAGATGAAGGTATAGATATCTACAATATATATTTAAAGACGTCTCTAGGAAATATGGGATGAAGAAATATGGGTAAGATAGATAGATGGATTGGGCGATTTCAGGATCATCAGGATGATCGACTCTCGGTATTGATATCTTCTGCTCATGGTCCAATGTTAATGAGTGTACATCGGACTAGTGCGTACCGATCATTCACTGTGATCCGAGTTGGCTATATCAGAGCAATATCCAGTACATCGAGCAAATCCACCGCTTACATGCACACGAAGATATTGAAATACCACGTATAGATCCATACTTCTTTTTCTTGCTACTAATATCGTCATACCCATTCTTTGTATAATCTCTGTTCACAAGGTGCATTAGAGATTCATGATTGCCAAGGATGCTGTCTGCACGATTCCGGCTGCGTTGTGATCGGCTTTCTGGTTTCAGGTAAGGTAGCCAGATACCACATGGTGGGACTCTGATTAATCATCACGACGCCGATACCTTGGGAGACTAATTAGCGCACACTAAGCTCCGGCGGGACGCTTTCGGGAGCAAACCGCCATGTAGCGCTATACGGTTCTGCGTCTGCGCTCTTCGCCTTTGCAATTTTGAGTCTCCCGCCGACTATAAGTACCAGTTTCTGTGAAGTGGGATATGTTGTAGTTTTCGAGGCTTTTTATCCAGTTATTGGTTGTAACTGCATCATGGTGCTGAAACTTGGGTGTCCGACTCTGGGGGATAAGTAGAAAAAAAGTGAACTAAGGTATTCATTATACTCCGTCCTTCATTCTGCGTGCTTCCGAAATTTTTGTGCGTCAACCTCATGGTTGAATATTTGATAGAGCCCGTCCATCAGGGAAGTTATGAACAGAGAGTACTTTCCATAACCCAATCTGAGTCGGCATCGATGTCCCGAAATCAACAAGTATAACTAGCGTTTTTGAAAAAACAACAAGCGCATGATCTAAACGTTGCGCTGGAAGCAGAATTGAATTTTGTCATCGCTTCAACAACGAGAGATGCAGTAAGTTTGCTTTCGTTAGGTTTGCGACACCCGCATCCGAGAGTATCGGATTTGCAATTAAAAGAAACGGTGGTGAAGGAATATGTCTCGGAAACGATTTTTGATTTCTGTGCCGGACGCTGGCAGTACGACCAGTTTGAAAGAGTCCTAGAAACGTATATTTGATATCATGACAAGGGCATTCGCAGGATATGCCATGACCCATTTTATGCTAACATTCTTACGAGGTTGGTTTCGGACCCTCTGTTGGTCTCATGCGCGCGCAACTACTTTGTGCTTCCAGAGCCGCAAGCAATAAAGATATCCCCGCTTCTCGCAGTTGTCTTAAGGGGCTAGCTAGAGACAAAGAGACAGGAGATGTTTGAAAAGGACACGGATTACACGCTAGTCGTTGAGGGTGATTTAGCCATCTGTACCTACTTCCCATTCAAATTAGTGCAACTAGAGATAAATATGGCTCCGTTAGGCAGTAAACCACTATTCTGGATAGCAGAAATATATGCTTTAACTGAGATGACTTGATGGGTGGTAACGGAGGGGTGCTTGAGTTCCTCGAACTCCCTGTGCATGTTCTTCATCGTAATTGTCGATATGGGACATCGAAGGCACCACACGCGGACTTCCTTTTGCAGATCTACATTTACACAGTAGAGAATCTATATGATTCTAATCTGGATCAATTTTCTTAATGATGTATGAATTTTAAGCATAAGACTGCATATATTGACGTTAATTATCTCAGTCAATGTGTGATATCTAGTTACCACTGATATAAACTGGGTTCCACCCGATGTGTAGCGTTTATACAGATGGGTAATGTACTCCACTTCTAAGCTTATTACAATATAGCGCTCGAGTATAAACACTTCTCAGAGCAAGACTATCTCGCGTGAATGCAGAAAATATGCTTAAGTTCCCGGCTCCTGTAAGTGAGCTTTCCTGAACATGCACGGGTCACGATTTCATGTTGCATAGGAATGATTAGAATATCACATCCCATGACAAACCACAAAGAACTGTACAGAGGCGGTACATGACGTCTCGCCGTGCCGCACATCATTCGAACGAAAAAGCATATCTTCATCTCTCACTCCTCTGAAAGTCAACCAAGTGGAGAATCGCTTCAACTAGATAGAATGCAAGCGACAGCTTCTCGGTTGCCAATCCACTTTAACGGTACTAACTTTGTTACGGCTACGCATGCAAGCCCTCTACGGTGGTAGGGTGTACAAACAGAACACCATCGTCAATAAAACAAGTAGGGGTCTGAAAATAACCAGCCCGAATACAGCTACCCAACTACCCCTCGTCCTATTTAAATACATAGAAAATGAGTGATGAGTGAATGCTTGCATGGGATAGTCAAGGCAAATGCACTCATCAGATTGCTGGAAGGGCAATAACTTCAATCAATGCAAGTCGTCCTGTATTGTTTACCTTTATAACGATGCCACAATAAATGTGGTTAATGCAAGTGGCTTACGGCATCAAGCAGCGACACGCTCGCGACGCGTCCAGCTCTCCTTTTGTTCAAACGTTCAAAACAAAATGCAGTGGAAAAGAACGACAGTCTCAGATTTGCGTATGTGCCATGTGCATTCTTTAAGAGTTATATTGTGTATGCTGATACCCAGCTACCCTTACCTTCAACCTGACAGGCACAAACCGGAGAATCAGGTCCACGGCCATTGTTGTGTTGATAACACTTTTTGTGCTCCTTTTCATTCTCTCCAGCGACTCTCCCGCTGGCCTGAGTGATGCTCCAGCGCACTTGAACAGTAAATTGTCCCCGAAACAGACTATTCCACCAAACACGTATGCATATGCGGCGTATGCTGTCTATGACCAGCATGTGTGTGCCGCTCTCGCCTTGTTCCAAACTATCCGCGAAACGAACCCACACCCAAACATAGACTTTATTGTCATATACACTGAGAAAGTCACCAAAAAGTCGATCGAGCTGATGCAAGCGGCGGGCGCAAAGTCGCGTCTTGTGGAGATGATAGAGACACAGAATCTGAACAGAAAGTCCCCGAACGGGCAAGGACATGTGTGGGACCATCGCGAGAGCATGACAAAGCTTCGAGTTTTTGAAATTTATGATTACAAGCGCATTATTTACCTGGACTCTGAGTAGGTTCCTTGGTTTTCCTTTTGTCGTCATTGCCAGATATGCTTTAACACGTCTTGTTCACAGTGCAATAGTTGTTCGCAACATGGACCATCTCTTCTTCCTTCCCGACTTTCCGCTCTACATGCCCCGCGCATATTGGTTGAGCGACAAGCAGTATACATCCATAATGTTGGTCATCCAACCAAATCCGTACATGTTTCCAAAGATTAAAGAAGTTGCCGAAAAGATGGAGGCTGACGGCATTGCAACTTATGATATGGACGTGCTCAACATCGCCTTTGCTAATCAGGCCGGAATGCTTCCGGGGTCTGTGGAACTTCTCACGCAAGACTTGGGAAACCCAACCTCCAAATCGCGATGGTTTCCATGGTGGACTATTGATGAAACTGTTGCTCAGACCTATGCTATCCACTTTTCGGCCGGTCCCCTCGGCAATCTTAAACCGTGGGCCGGAAACAGGAAGACCATTAAATGGCCCGAAGGACAGCATACAATGTACCGAGGAGCATTTGACCGCTGGTGGGACGTGGCCGAGAAAGTTTGCTCCCGAGACCTTGCGCGCCTTGGAACTGAGTGAGATACTTGGAACCATATAAATATGTGTAAGGAGGTTAGGTACTTGTAAAAAGCAGACGGAGAGCCCCTTGGAAATCTCTCCTGCGCTTATGTAAATTTTATGTTCCATAAAAATGCGCATTATCCGTGAAAAAGGGAGCCATAACAGTGAAAAGCCTGAGTTTCTAATGCGACTCTGAATGTCGTGGACTTGCTTTTGCTGCTGGGATGTTGCTGGGAATGACCGCTTTGCTATCAGAAACGTTACAGAAAGAGTAAATAGTTAATTGCAGCATATCGGGCTCCAATTACTACAAGAGTGCCGAATCGTTCTTGTTTATATCCCGGATGGAATCTTTATCGTCATCGTCATCGACCAGCCGAGAGGGCGGCTAAAAAGGAATAAAAAGCGGCCATATTGCCGGGTCAAATAGCCTCCCTTTGTATCCTCCCTTCCCATGGGACAACTGCAGTTGGTAAATTGAAAAACCAAGCGGGTTCATTTGAAACTCAGCTGCCGCGTTAAAAAGTTTTTTTTTCGTGCTGCGCCAAAGAAACTTTTTCATGTGCCGTTGAAATGTTGCTGCGGAACACTGCCTCCTGCGCCCAAACGGACAAACGCAGAGGTGGACAAGGAGACGTCGGCGGCGAGGCAACTCTCGTTTTGGTGTGCAAACTGGGCAGGCAGTTTGGAAAAGGACCCCAAACACACACGTTGGTGGGATGGTTCATTATGATAACGTGCAATAACTTTGTTTCAGCCCAGCCAAAAAGCATTAAGCGATAGTGGTGTTCAAAACACTTTGTTTTTGATTTCTTCTTTCCAACATTTGAAAGCTGAGCAAAGCTCCAAGAAAAGGCGCATGGCTTCTTGTTCGTCCTACTCCATGATTTACTTTTTTTTTTTTGGCTTTACGATATTTAATGGACATGCTTTTTGTTATAAAGGCGCACCCAGTACTCGTTTTCCATCCGTTTTTGACTGTAGCGCCGTGACATTACTGGGATAACTGTTGCCTTCGCCATTGGTTCAACTATGAGGTTTACACTATTCAGCAATCGGCGTTTTCGCCTTGCTTTCTATGCGTTCCTTTTCGCGGCCCTGATTGCTCTAGTAGCCATTCTGGGTGTCACTAATCGCAAGCAGGTATTGCATTGTCTTAAAAAATGAAAGAACTCCAAGACAAGACACACTGATGGTTTACTCATCCGTCTAGGGGAAAAGAAAATTGGAGGCTTCCAGTCTTTTGGATGCCTGCAGCGGGTTTCCTGCCCTCAACCCGACGAGCTCCTTGGCGGCCCAACGGGTTTTGAACGCTACAGGGGCCTTCGACCCCTTCGAGGTTTACTTGAGATCGGTAAGTGCATCTAGACGCTCGGTAATACCATATGCTCGGACGCTAGCTGACTTGTTTCCTTTGTGTATTTTAGCTGAATGTCGTGTTTGCGTCCATGACATTGGCTTCATTCGACGTGCTCAAAGCCACTGCCACCTATCGCTTTGATTTTGTGGCTCTCGGTACGTATCTCATGATCTCTTTGGCATGCTTGCCGCTATTCGAGATATTAACAGTTTCAATCTCTCCATAGGGGACTTTAGCGAAGATCCTACTGTGGATCGTCCGCGACCAAAGTATGATTTGAACTTTACCATACCAGGTATCTTGAGACGTATTTCACGATGACCATAGGGAGCGTATCGATAATCCATCTGTTATAGGCGTTACAAGTATGACTTTTGCCAAAGGCAAGGCCATGCAGAGGCAGGACGTAACCATCGGCCTGACGGGCGACGTCAATGATTATCCGTTCGATACTCAAGAGTCCGCTGTGATTACTCTGGAAGGGGTATTCCGCAACACCACCGCCGGCGCAAATGCCACAGTAGCCGTCGTCCCAATTGTGGCGGAGGCCTCGGGTTCGTCGCAGGGTTTCCGAATTGATTTCCCACCGGACCTTGCTTGTGCTGGTACCCTCGCAGATGGAACTCCTGCCCAAATTATCGCGTCTGCAAAGATATCAAGGACTTTTACAACTCAGGTAAGAAACTTGCAGCAACGTTCGGCTCTTTCGTTACCGTAGTGCTGACGATTTTTTCACATGTTTCCAGTTCTTCTCGGTCATGGTTAGCATCCTACTTTGGATCCTTTCTTTGCTTGTTATCAGCATTTCCTTAAACATTGTCATGCGTGGACGGAAAGTGGAACCACCCGTGATTGCCTTTTCCGCCGCCATTCTGTAAGTAGCAGAGTTTGATGGACTGTGTGACCTCATCCCGCAAACTACTTATTGATTGCAACTTATTCAGGTTTGCAATTCCGGGAGTGCGTAATGCACAGCCAGGTATCCCCCCCATTGGAAGCAACGTTGATGGTAAGCTTACGCTTTTTCGTGCTACTGGCAGCCCAGTCTCTGATAGCCTCCTTTGTCTCTCCATTATAGTCGTTGGTTTCTTCTGGAATATATCCCTGTGCGCCGTTGGTGGTAAGTTTACGCGTCCGTAGAGTTGGAATCAGCCCTCGTTCATCGTGCTAACAATTTTATCCTGAAAAGTCACAATGCTTCTCGGTCGCTATTTCTACCTGGCTACCACGACCCCGGACCCGGCCCCCCCGAAACCGCAACCGTCACAGCAGACCGTAGTCGAACAGATCGTTATAGATAAATAGACTGGATCACTTGAGGATGTTTTTCGTCAGCCGAGTAGATCTTGGTTTGATTGGAGAACAACTTTCAATCACGGATGCCGAACGGTAACCCTCCTGCACTACCGTCAGTGTGAGTTGGTAGCAACCAGAATAGGAATTTTCTATTAAGACAATGCGAAAGAATCACCAAGTTGTACTACGCTAATATGCAAAACAGAGAATGACACGCAGTAGGACATAGAACGGTACAGAGTTGCACTGTGCCTCAGAGCAGTATGAAGCTCGTTGAGGTCCGTTGGAAAGATGACACGACCCTTACCATTGTATTGCCCGAGCGAAACATACTGTCACTCAAACAACTTGGACGACCGCAAGCTTCAGTCCAGCTTGAATCGATATACAGAAAATCATCTATCCAAACCTTTTTAGCATCCGTAGCTTGGGTTGGTGGAAATACATTTCGAAAACATACGCATGTATTCATTTACAAGTTCCGAAAATCCATTGCCTTTAAGAACCAGTTTTGCGTGTGATGCTACCAGCGCGCCTCGGTTATCTGCTGCTTGTAGTTGCAATTGAGGAATTGGTCGTATTTGTTGTACATGGTCTACTTTTTTTGCAAATAATAGAGGCGGCAGATTGTAAGTGCGGCAGAGGGCCCTCTGAAAGCGGTAGCGTCTCAGCTTTAGAGCGATCCATTTACAATGCCCATACCCAGCCCAAAGCAGCAGACGATAGCGGATGTATATCATATTTTCAAAGTACTAGTGAGACCATATTCCTCCAATAGAAAGAAAGAGGATTTCTATCGAATCTTGCAAGTCAACGTTTCCAAGCGCACCTGAAAAGTTGTAGGTTTCAACTTGCGTCTTGGAGCATGGTTCCCTAATAATCGCCATCATCGTTTTTCTGTCTCATTCTCCAGCTAGGACAATGCTCGTAGCGTTGGCGTTCCCCAAGCAAATGCATGACTCGCCAGAGTATGCATTGTCGAAAATAACACCGAAGCCAAGCGGGAATGAACAACCAAGTGATCGCCGCACGTGACTCAGCGGGGGTTGTGCTGACTTGAGTGCTGACACAGCAATGGCAAGTTGCTTGTCCACAATGCACCTCCAGACATCGGATGAATCCGAGTTATAAAAGCTCTCTTAACCCGGCAGGTCGTCTTCAAAAGTATCCAATCGGCAGAGCAACTGGCCGTGGATTTTCTCTTTAGATTGTCCTTGCATTTCAGTTTCTACTGACTTCACGTAGATTTGGAATCCACAATGGTCGAGATTCACACAGTCTACCCTACCAAAAAATACAAGCGCCCACCTCCACCGTCAGCAATAGCACTTCATGCTCTGGATCTCTGTCCTCCCGTCCAGATCCGTAATCACCGGTTTTACCACCGCCCACCGTCTCATTTGTTTGGCACCACTACGGACCTAATAGATAAACTGAAATCCTCTCTTGCCCAAGCACTCGAGTTGTATCCGCCCGTTGCAGGAACTGTACGAGCCAATGAAAAGGGCGTGGCTTACATTGCTATGGATGCCGAAAATGTGTTGGGTACACCGTTCCTGGTCGAACTGAAAGACACGCCGTATGTTGGCGATAGTGAAGATTTATGCCCCCGAAATATCGTGCTCCTACCTCCAGGATCAAGCACGTTAGCAGTGAAAGTAACTCAGGTAATGTTAATTGCGCTAGTATATGCTCTTTTAAATTACCATCGCTACTCAACCTTGAATGTGGGCTTATTGGTAAAATAGTTTTCCTGCGGAACCATCGCTGTAGCGGCATCGGTGCACCATCAAGTCACTGATCTTCGGGGCTTTCTCGATTTCCTTGAACTCTGGGCTCAGATTGCTCGAGACGAAACCATCGATTTTACACAGATTCCAGAGGATTGGTCTCGTACTCCCGGTCGATTTTTCCCTGATGTTACCCAAAAATCAGCAGTCTCTAACCCTCCTCCAGGATTCATGGTTCTTCCTGCACCGCCAGCCGGACCGCCTCCATTCTTATTGGCACCATCAGAGGTTTCAAGATGGAGATTCTCCAAAAGTGCTGTAGAACGACTGAAAAATGATCTTTCACGCTCTGCTTCTTCCAAAGGACACAAGTCCGATCTGTGGATTTCATCGGGTGATGCACTTTCTGCACTACTTTGCGGTGTCATTACGCGTGCGCGCGAAAATGCGCATGTGCCGAGGTTGGAAGGAAGATCTAGTTCCAAGTCACCGACCGAGGCACTTATGATGGCCGCTGATGGTCGAGAAAGATCTCCTCAAGGAAACATGATTGGTGGAAAATACTTTGGAAATTTCAACCCACTTTTCAGTACTGCCATCTCCCGCTCCGATTTATTATCCCTCACCTGCGAGTCCGCATCTCGTGTTGCCCTCGACATTAGAAGCGCTATAAACCATCAGCTCTCACCGGAAGCCATTGCCCATAAGATTGCGTTTTTTGAAGCTACCGAAAACAGCACACCTCCTGGTCGTATTGCTTGGACAGCAGATGTGATAATGACCAACTGGTGTCGATTTGATTTACAAGGGCCAAAATTAGATTTTGGTTGGGGAAAACCGTTTTATGCAACGGCTGGGGGAGGTACTTATCCTCCCGCTTACGTGATTTTGACGCAGGAGAAGACCTCTGGGGATGTTTTTGTTTTGATGACAGTGGAAGCGGAAGGTGCGGATAGATTGAAAACAGACCCATTGTTGAATAAGTATGCAGAACTGGTCACAGGTCATTAAAGTCGATCATGCAATTTGACACTCGCTGTATATATCTATAGACCCTTGCTTATTACCCGCTGTAACTATATAGATCAACTGTACGGTAGTGACACTGTAATTACAACCTGACGATGACTAGACATGAAGGATATACAAGCTTTCATCTTGATGCCCACATAGCAAAATATTCCCAAATACCGTAGTGTAGCCGCTGCCCTAACCCTCTGAAATGGTTTCGTTATGCACTTTGACACATTGCAACCTCGCTCTAAGATGAAGATGTGAATAAATCCATGTGCTTCGCCAACAGACTATCGCCTTCATACGCAACATCGGTGTACATGACTGATATTATCGTCGGCCATACATTCTGCAACCGTATACTGGCGTAGCCCTCGCGGGAAACCATCGCGGTCAGCCGTCCGGTCATCTTGTCGATTGAATATTAATGGTATCCCAGGCGATGGTCAACCGTCGAGAGGCATTGCCATCTGGCCATCGGACGCAAGACTTAATCAACAGATTTTAGGGGTCACACAAGAGCTACTAATCAGCGGTTGATGGTCGAAAAGTTAAAACACCATGCGGCAGGTTCCATCTTCCTTAAGAGTCAAGAACGCCCCGCCGCTGATGGTAGAAGTTGACGGTTCCAACGTTCCCATCGCTGTCATCTCGTCCTCATGCTCATTCAACACCCGCTCTTCCGTTTCTGACCATCGCGACATCGTTGCCGTGAGTAGGGACTCATATCCGAAGGATCCAGTTGTTTGGTCATCTCCTTGCACCTCTTCCGACATGGTCAGTTCCGGCATATTGCCAATGCTAATTGGCCGCACGCCCGTCGGTAATGTTTGCATTCATCTCGCATTTCGGGTCGCTTTCTTGTCATCATATGGCTCCCGTTCCGATTTGTGCTCCTGCAATGGTACGCACAGAAGGTCCCTAGTGCCGTGTTTAATCGAGATCCTTGATTTCCAGCTGTGTCCGCTGCGCTTCTACACCAGACGATTTCACAGCTTCTTTCCATATCGATATATCCTCCTTGAAACGGATTCCCGACGGATGCAACGCACCCCAATTGCCGATGCTCTCACTGGACTGGACCCGGGAACAATACGTCCAGAAAACACAAGCGGGATTTAACAGACATCTACCGCGTTGCACTCAGCTACCCCGGCACGCAAGATGGATTCGCCCATTTGGGGTACGCTGGCAGCACACGGGGACGTTTACTCATGGGCTCTGGAAGAAATCTAGATTTTATCTCGAATGGGAGGTGCACAAATTCAGGCTCAGGATGAACAAGTGGCATGGAGTTTATACAAGCACAACCGGAGACAGGAGGCGTGGTGACGGAAGGAGAAAGGGAACCCGATGGCCCAGAATTATCTGTTACCCATCAAGCTGCAGCACAGTGCATCGGCCGATGGTTCCGTGCCCATCAACATTCCTCTGATACGACAATTGGCCATCAAGTGGCGAACGAATCGAATTCCATACAAACTTCCGTGTGAAATCTTTGGATATCAACGGTAAATGCCGATATGTGGGGGAATGCAACATACTGACTGATTACCCGGACTCTGAAGAAGGCCGGGCACGAATGGGACTGGACTTGAAAAAATGCAAGAGCATGGAACTGCAATGGGGAACTACACTTTATTGGACTTAGTGCTCAACTGGGAAAAATATACAAGATGTTACGGGATGCTATGCTGCTGGTACCCTAAACCAGTGCTATCAATGCTATCCAATGCAGACTGATGTAACAGAAACAGCTGTAGAATGCTTCTTCCCACTTACGCCTTACCACTGTCCCTTCCACCAGCGAGGAACACGGCAGCGGCAATGCCGGAGGCTCTCGTCGTTTTCCTCTTGGTGCAGCGGTTTCTGCTGGCGCCGCGGTTTCCTCTAGCGCGGCAGTTTCTTCCGCCGCACGGGCTCTTCTACCCATGGCGGTCCCCTCTGGACCGGCGGCTTCTTCTGAAGCGGCGGTTTCCTGGAGCGAGGCCAGGTCCCTCCGCTGACAGTGATATTGTTGTCTTGGTTAGGTCTTCCTCCTTTCGCGGTCGTCCTTTCACTCGTGGTCGTAAAACGCCTGTGCGGTCGTTGATCCCTTTGGGTCGTTAATTCCTTGGTGGTCATCAATCCCTTCGCGGCGGTCAACTCCTCTGCGCCGTCAATTCATTTGCGGTCGCTAGCTCCTGGTCCCGTAACTTGGTTTCTGCCATTTAGTTTAGTATATCTATCTATATATCACAACCTAATAGACACCCTAAACCCTAACGCTAAGCGACAGAGGTTAGCCGAGTGATACAGGATAACAGCAGCATGACATGATCAATCATCAAGGACCGACCGAGCGACACCACAAAAACGAGTCGCGCGGGGTACCCAGGCAATCGGAATCAATAAGCAACTTCGAACGGAAGGTACATCATTAAGCCACTTGAACAGCCAAGCCTTATGGACCACGGCAGAGCTGAGGGACGAGTTTAGATTGTTGGATTTGCTTTGCTTTACATGCTTTTTTTAATAACCCTAACCCTTGATGATGTTCATCACAGAATTCATGCGACAGAAAGGGCTCCCTACCTAAAACGAAGTTTGCTCATTCGGTCATGAGCGCTTTGCAAGAGATATTTGACATTACGAGCCCACTAGCGAGTTGCGGCAGTAGCAGCATTCGCGGACAGATCTCATTTGCTCATACTGGTATGGAGTCCATATAGGGGCTTGAGATTCCTTGGTGGCCGGTAATCCCCATGGAGGTGCGACAATTACAATTTTTATTCCCGAAAAATGGAACAACATAGCATCTATCTATCTATTCTATCTGAGCTATCCAGCTACTTGGTCATATCACGCGGCGATTCACACTGCAGCCTTGGGACTTAGAGCGGCTTGCGAGGTGACTTCGATAGTGTCTCCAGCTTCTTCCTCTTCACTCTTGGAGATGGGGACGCGCTTGATAAAAAACGCTGGCAACACGCACATTGCAGTGAAGGCGATAGCCACCTTAAATGCTAATTGAAGACTGTCTTCGTATGCGTCGATGAGGTAGGATCGTTGGGTATCGTTAAACCGACCGGTGTAGATGAGACTCGGATCGTGACGCACATCCTCGAACGCCGACGGAGCCTGCATACGCATTTATGAGAGACTGGGCCCCTAATACACTGCAAGGACAGACCTCCCCTATTTGGGTCCTAGAGACTCACCAAGATCCCTTCGGGCATTTGCGTAAAGGCGCTACGCAGACGCGATGCCTGAATATTCCCCATAATTGCTATTCCCAAGCTTCCTCCAAGGTTTTGGAAAGATACAGCCAATCCATTGACCACCGCGATATCTGACGGTAAAGAGCATTTAGCTACCATGTACAAAAGTGATAGTTCGAACATAGTATACCTTTAGGATCAATGGCCACTTGGCAAGAAAAGAAGGCCATTTGCAACACAAGACCGAGCCCGATTCCGAACACGATGAGGAACATGATCTCCGCTACGGACGAAATATCCTTATGAAGGAAGGACAATGAGATGGTTCCGGCCAGAAAGAATAGATTGCCCAGATGGATGAAAAATGTATAGGCGGGAAGCCACCTGGGAAGTCGTTTAGCAACGTGTTCAGATAAAAAGCCGCTCACAATGCCAAAAATGGTGATGCCCAGGAAAATAGGTAGCAGTCGGTACGAGGCGGTTGACGTCTAGTCCAACACTATGAGTAAATTCAGTGTGAAGAAAAACAAAGCGTAGAGGTACCTCGCGATTGTCAACTACAATGAACCAGACAGGTCTAGGAGCAAAAGGTTAGTCATGGCAGCGGAAGCATCTCCATGCTCAGGCTTACAGGTAATATAAGAATCCGGTAAAGGACATTCCAAGGAAGAACAGTGTCATCAACGACGCAACCGTGTTTGGATTCCGAAACAACCTCATAGCAATGATGGGCTCCGCGGCCACGTGTATTTCAACCAACACAAAGGCAACGAGACCGACACCCGCCAATACGAGCAAAGTGACAGACACAGGAGAATCCCATGCATATTGGTCTCCGCCAAGACTCTAAAGCATGGCACGTCAAATAAATAGAGGACGCAGACAATCCCGTGATGGGATTTGCAACTTACAATGGGGATGAGCAGGCACACCATCGAGGCAACCAAAAGTATGGCCCCACCAAAGTCTACTCGCTTCAATTTATGCAGGAATGCTGTGCCAGAGGGTTCGGCCGGAAGCATAGATACCACCGCCACCAGAGAAATAGCACCGAGAGGGATGCAAATATAGAAACACCAACGCCAGGACAGGTACTGAGTAAGGACTATGACGCATTAGATTTGCAGGTTCAGGTATGTGAGATGTTGGAGGGAACATACCTCCACCGAGGATAGGTCCGAGCACACTGGACACTGCGAAAGAGCTTGTCAGCAAACTTTGATACTTGGGTCTTTTTTCTGCAGTGGACAAATACAGTCATGAATGCTGTAAATGTGTAGGTCTTTTTGAGGAGCTCACAAATTGGTATGATTTCAGCTACAATGATGAAAGAGAGGCCGATCATCCCACTTCCGCCAATGCCGCTTATGGCTCGGAAAGCCAGCAACATTGCAATATTTGTAGCTACACCGCATCCGATGGTCCCCGCAAGGAAGATCACCAAGGCCACAATCATCATCGCTTCCAGAATTGGGTATTAGAGCATTCCTTCGCAGGTGGGAGCGATGCTTCGCACTCTCACCCTTTCGTCCAAAGATGTCCGATAGTTTTCCTGAGATGTTGCATATCAGTCGAGGGCAGATGGGCGCGCGTCTGCGAGACAATCTGACTTACCGTATAAAGGTTCCGTAGCATTTAAGCACAACATGTATGAGATCGCTATCCAACTGAATGCTTGGACAGCGTGGAATTCTGAAGCCATATTCGTTGCTACCGACGCGACCTGTAATTAGATATGAGCCTTTCTCTACCGAGTATCGTCCGCGCCCACTGCTTTCCGTACTCACGATTGTTTCATCTAAACTGCCGCAAAATACGGCTGATAGCAAAGCACCAAAGACGAGCAGTTTCCTGATGGGAGTCATCGGCAATGTGCTAAGTCCCCGCATCTCTCCGTCTTCTATGACAATGCATTTCTCCTCTACGGCAGCTGGCAGTTAGAAAGAAGCCCCAGTAGCTGCATTCAGGAAAAGACCCAGGGGGACTAACCGGACTTCTCTTCCATGTTGGGGTTTGTTGCAGCTGCTGCTATCGGGAACTGCGAGGGCTACATAACAGCGTTCTTTAGCTGAACTGCCGTCTTAGCTGACGCGTTCAAAAACCAAGATTCTAAATCCATGAGTATTACACAGATTAACTTTTTAAAGTTTTTTTGTCTCCACCGCCATGATATTGTCGCCAACCGGCACAGCTTCGAGAGGAAAAAAAAATATCAGATAGCGGCCGCCTTTATAATCCGAAGATGGAAGGAATGATACACATTTGAATGCTCTTGATGTTTACGTATATCGTCAGCTTCCGATCGACCACAACCAATTTCCGAGTTGTCCACTCCTGCTTTGGTCGAAACGGCGAACGAAAAGGCAAAGGAAATGCCAAGTGAACGGGCAAAAGAAATGGCAGACTAAGGGCGTAAGGTCTTTAAAGTTGCCGAACAGTACTTCCTTATGGTGGGTTATCGCAAGCGAGCTCATCTGTAAAGTGCTCTGCTTGAAAGACTTGTGGGTGAAAGTGCGTAGACCCGTAAGACAACCAGTTCAAACTTTAGGATATCTGAATAGATTAGCAAAGGTGGTAAAATGACCACTTCGGACCCGCCACCGAAACTTGATATCACCAAGACCCTTCCGAGATCCGGGGAAAGATTTCTGCTGCATTCTGCGAGGCTGGTAATGTTAAAAGAAACCCCATTCTCTATTTCGTCAAAGTTAAATCCTGCCTTTCTTCGCCTTATCCAATCCGGAGGGACGGCCTTCTTTTCCGTCAGGTTGCGCTCTGATGAAGAAATGCGCGTTATTTCCTCCTTCGATCCACTGCAGTGTTGCTTCAGTAGAAGAAAATCGATTCCTCAGATCTGAAGGCTGCTGTTGCCGATACTGTAAGCGCCATCTGATAAACGTTGTGTTGAAGATTTCTAGTAGATTCACCAATGCTAATGCAATGAAGCCTCTCCACAAGCAAAACCCAGCATGAGATGGTCAATCGCAAGGGCCCCCAATTTTTGAAATGGGTGAAGGCTTTCTTTTGCAAATCAAGTAAGATGGACAAAGAGATTATGATGGGACGGTTTAATCCGTAGTGCATAGGGCTCAAAACAAAATGGCTTACATCTCTTCGGGTTGGATAGAAAAGATAGATTAGATACTAATGTAAAGCATCACGAAATAGTAGCTGGTAGTTACGAACAGAGCACAGAGTAATCATCTCCTGAACAGTCGACCTTTCAACGGATTCCTGATCTAGTCTGAAAGGAAACATCTGCATTTTGACAAGCTTTTTCTACTGCATCTACAACCCAAACTCGTATTCTACGTTCCTTTTCACCACTTGCAGATACAAAAATATACAAACATTGCTGGAATGACTGCTATTCCCAATTAAAATGTACTACTATGTAAAAACTATTCGATTATCCAAAGTTGGTGCTACTACTGGTAATCCGTCACGATACTCTATTACTACCTTGTTGCGTGCCCGTGCGCCTCTTTCAGAAAAGTCCCCGCTAACATCAAACGTCTCGATCAACATGGCCGTTTCGGTAATACCCGCTTCTGGTCCAATGACATGATCCGATTTACAAAATGCATCATAACCATCATACCCGTCCGCAATAAAATTGACCATCGCAACATCGTATTCTTTGGAAGGATCCACCGGCTCACGCAATCCATCAGTATAGTAAAATGCGGAGACAATCCGTTGTTCCTCTGGCCGAGATAAATCGACGATAATCTGAAGTCCGGAGAGCTGCAAAAATCGGCCATCCATTCGAGAGTCACCGACGCTGTTTTCCAGGGCAGTGAGCAAGTCGCGACCGGAGATACGCTTGACGACAAAGATGTTTCCAAACGGTAAAATGCCTGTGGGCAACCGAGAGTCAGTGTTAGCAGTGCTTCCGGCCCGCGTTCAGAATCTTACCAAACACATCTTGGACGGTCAATTTCCCATTGTGGATGATCTTGTTGCATCTGATGCTACCCGAATTCACCACTGCGATATCACAGCTATAATACGCACGCAGAATGTCCGCTAGAAAGTTGCCCATATTTGTCTCCATCGTTCGTCCGACTACCGAACGGCATTCCAGTTCGACGTCACAGTACAGTAGCTCTCGGTCAGTGATAGCGTTCATCTCCTTTTGAATTGTCGCGATTATTGCTTGCATTGATTCGTCCTTCGGGTGGCTCATACTATGTATACGCTCGACTGTTTTGGGAAAGGAAGCGGTAAGAGACCAAGATGACCAAACAGCGCCCAGACTGCTACCGCAGCTGCCCACTCTACCAGACACATCCAGGATACAAATCATTTCAGAATCCAGCTTCAGGCCCACGAGACTGAGTTCACAAAAGTCGCTGCCGCTTTTCACGATCGTGACACACTTATCTGTCGTATCAATCATGTACTCATGGTCATGCCCGCCCAAGATCAGATCAATATCTTTACATCCAGCTACCACCGTTCGGTCCTCAAGTAACCGCATATGGGTCAAGGCTATGACGAGATCTACTCTATACTCATCACGCAACAAGCGGCATACCCGTTGAGCTGTTACCACAGGATCAACGATGCGTACATCCGGCGGCAAATGTTGGCAGTTTGACGACCAGTCGCTAGAATAACGCAAATGGAAAAATACAGCTGGCCTTCAGTGGAAAGCAGGTAAATGTAGAGCGCCAAGGTCCTTACGTTCCCGCCAAGGCAAAGAAGCCCAGTTTGCAGCCTTGATGTGTGACGACCATATACTCCTTAGCATCTGCAAGCAATCTACCGGTCGAATCCACTACATTTGACATTAGCCACGGAAAATTGCAGGCACGCTTCAGCTCGAGCAAAACCTCTTCGCCAAAATCGAAATCTGGAACTAGATTAAATCCTTGTCGGCATGAAAACCCCAACTGTCCTTATCGTACCATGATTGCCATAACATGCAATATCGACTTGAAGTTCATTCAACACGGGAACCATGTGCCGACCCTTCAGAACTGCAGCCTCAACTGATGGACTAAATGCGTCACCGCTGAAAACAGTTAGCGCACTTGGGTATTTGTCCCTTGCACGTTTTAGGGCGTGAGCGAAGCGCGGAAGATGGTTATTTCCAATATTATACTATCGCGGAACAAAGATGACTAGATGCTTTTCAAGGATCCTAAACACATTGGCTTACCGCATCGTTGAAGTGGAGAAATGTTACCTTATCGGTATCCGCCGAGTCTACGTTGGTGCCATCATGGGAAGATGATGATTCGCATAACCACGCGTCTACGCCCATACCACTCGTCGTGAAACGATAATCACAATATGCGCACTCGTAGGAAGCGAGCGCGAGCGTTGGGCAGCACAAGTTCGCCGTGAGTGCACAGGGTCCAAACCTGATTGACAACAGCAGCTAAATTCTCCAACGAGCCCACTAGCAAGTTTATCTTGAACGTAAAGTTGGAAGCCGCGCGTCTCGCGCAATTGACTCCATAAATGTCTCCAGCGGTATAAACTCGGCCCCATCTTGTTGTGGTTGTAAAGCCATTATCTGTTAATGACCTTCATGTACTGTGAACGTTCCAGCATGGCTGCGTAATTGCAAAACTGATGGTGCTCAGCCAGAATTAAGGATGAGCTTGGCACTTGCATATCGGGCTACACGGGTGTCCCCACATGGGTTAAATTTCTAGAGTATTCAGAATTGAAAGAGCCATTCATTTGGGTTTGAACATTCTGTACGAATCTTGGCACAATTCGGGCTTTGGAGATCATCCAGATGCACACATGCGTGTCAAATCTCCAGCTGCAAGCACAGTGCTAAACAACGGCTTGTGAAGGAGGACATACATACTTGACAAACCTTCCAAGATACATGTACTTGCAAGGGAAAGGCGATTGCAAGCTGGGCTCTTAATTGTCGCAATCTAGCTCCTTCTGCCCATCATCAGGAAGCCAGTTTTCGGTCTTTTGCTGAATGGCAAAGTTGATTACAGCCAACCTCCTTTTAAAATGCTGACCTAGAAAAGTCTCAATGCTAACGGTGGATTATGGAGCAAAATGTCCAAACATTCTTACCGACAACAGCAGGCATCGTTTCGAAATTTCCTGCACCCTCCTAGCTACTCTGTTCTGGTCGGAAAACCAATCAAAAGATGTAACATATCCTGGTGGACAGAAAGCTTGCCCATGCTGTTGGGGCTCAGGCTTGAACCAGCATGCAAATTCATAGTGATGAAACGTCGGGGAGCTTGTCAAAATATGTGCTGCAGCATCCAAACCAGGATTGAAAACTGCAGGACTGGGAATGAAATGCCTACGACGGATCATGTACTTCTCGGGATTCATGACAAACAAGGCTTCCAGTTATGGAAGGTTCGGTTGGCACTCCACAGCGTATTTCTTGAAGCAACCAACTAGGCGCTTCTTCTAATGGTTCTTTCTAGGGCTGACGGAACTGGAGAGTTGAGTGCCTCATTGGAAGACGCATCAACAAGTGATTTCAGATTATGGGGAATGCGAGTAAAATCCTCAACCTCTCTACCATCACGTTCCTCCAATATACCCTCTACTCCGTCATTCTAACTCGACACGCCATCACCTCCCTTGTAGTCATCATCATCCGTGTCACCACTGCCTCTGTGCGGGAACTATCTGTAGAGCCCCCGAGGACTATATTTCGGCATAATGGGGACTCTCGGTATCCCTCCATCAACTGTGGGTGCAAAACCGAAGGAGGGACGGGGTGAACCAGAAGAAAGAGCGTGTTTAGGATTTCCGGAGCTTTGCTTGTTTCCTGCTTGTTGGCGGTTTGCAGTAACTTTCCAGGGTTTGGGCTGATCAAACAAACTAGGGAGTTCATTCTCCTCCCTGCTCCATGTAATACACATGGACAACTCATCGAGACCACTCACCGCCATTCTTTCTACTCCTCGCGCAAAAGCCGCTGTAACCTTTCAGGTCATGGGACACTTTAAAAACAGTGCTGACAATCGCCGGAACTACCCTCCTCTTTGGGCAAGATGTGGACAACATCGATATATAGAATTGCTGGAGTTTTCGTTGCGGTTTTTGATATTCTTAAGTACTTGGCTATGAAGAACGATCCACCAAAAAACTCGCTTCTTCCCACCGTGCTATCACCATCTCAAAAAGGGTTAGGAGGGATAGTAGAAGCTAGCTTTTGAGCCTGATTCCTCGATACGTGCTACATCATGTGGTTTTGTAGTTAATCACTGCGTCTTTTGCTTTACTTGCTTCTTATATATGTGCTACCTACCCATCACTCCTATCGGGTTTGCACGCTAATCTGCTGTGCGCGCCTAGATGCTGACAGACAGACATTGTCTTTGTGGGAAGCTCTCATGAAAACAGTCATTCCGACATCTCTCGGTACTGCGTGGGAGCAAAACGGCAACGTGCTGCGGAAGGCAGGACGGAAGGAAGGCGCTCAATCCTACGTGGCTCCTCGTCTATACTGAGGAATATCATAGTCGGTCATACCGACGGTGCGATATCGCATGTAAGCAGATATGTGGAAGCGCTCGCCACAAAACGTCAACTTCTCAATGTCACATTTTAACAATCTAAGACTCATTAGGTTGTATGAAGGCTACTGACCATATGCATGTTCAATTTATATATGTAGGCAGGTATGTATGCTGCTCCCAAGCACATTGCCCAACAGATTCCCTCGCCCTCCAAACATCAGGCAACAGTCCGACTAGCTTTGGCCACCATAGCGGTGCTCGAAAATGAATCGCCAAACATAGCTAATCCCAGAAGGCATGAAACCAGGACGGCGACAATTACAACACCCAGAACCGGTCGGCGTTTGGTGGCGTCAGCACTTTTGGAGGCAGGCCGAGTCGAACCTTCGCAGGAAGTGTTTTGTGTGGCATTGGGGCTCCGAGACGGACCGTAACCCAAATACAAGTAGCTAGACAGACACTCTTTGGTTAGCTATCGCCGGTACCTTCAATCAGCAGAAGATAAGATATACAATTGCTTACGTGCTGACGAACAGGACGATGCTTCCGACGGCTGTCAATAGTGTTATCGGCAATCCAAGAAGAACTGTCGACAACACGATCAGAAGGGCCGTTGTAACGGATTGGGCCAGGCACTTTATAACTGCATCCGCATCTGGAAGTCGACAACACATTTGATCAGTATTCTCCTTGCTGCCGGAAGTAGAACAACAAGGAGCGGCAAAAACGTACACTTATATACAGCGGTAATGACGAGTCCAATAATCGAATTCATGAAAACGACCATCACGGCATTAAATTCGTCGTAGCCCTCGAAAAATCCGGGTTCCGTACTTCCTGGCCGCCAGGCAAGCCAGCAATAAACCGTGACGTTGAGAAGGAAGCCACTCGCGTACAGAACCATATTTTGGGCGTGTATTGAGACTGGCTGCTTCAACAGATGGTCATTGATGCAGCTGCATACCGAAGTAATGCAAGTGGAGATGAGGAGAAACGCGTAAAGTGAGATAGGGTAGACAGTTCCGCCGTCCCGATATTGCGTGACAATCAACCCGCACACCTGCAAGAAAGCTGAGCTCAATAACTCTTCTAAAAGGGAAATGAGGAAGTGACATTCCTTACCTGGAGGACTATTGCCATCCATTGCAATGAGCTGACAGTTCTTGCGAGAAAAAGATATAGGATTCCAGCTGAAATTAGTGTCGAGCCGGACTTGACGAGTTGAATGGTCCCAGGATCCGCCAGACGGAACAGATAGAATGTCAAATGGTTGTTAGTCCCATCTTTTATTTGAAATTTGTGAGATCGCGTTCGTGAGTACCCCGCAAGACGGCTATCATGGAGGTTAGAATGAAGCACCGTCACTTACACATCAGGGTCAGCATCGCGATGCTCCTCATCATTTTTGGTGGCACTTCGTTAATCCAGCTTTGAAACAGTCCATTTACTTGACGGCGCCCCTTCCAGGTTTGTTCGTTAGGTACGAGACTGTAGGCATCCGGTCGACTTTTCAGCGACTTGCGGTAAAGCGCTGTCGAGATGCAGAACTTTGTAAATTCCGCAAGTGCCAATGCAGATGCTTGGGAAAATCTGTAATTTCCTTTCGCCTGAGATAGCTTGTAGACGAGCCCAATCGTGGTCTGTACAAGGACAAGACTCATGAACGACAACATGGCCGGCCCGAAGCGGGCTACGAGCGCATGCGCTAGAGAATTCTGAGGCATCATGTTTTTCAGAATAGCGGTAGATGAAGATGCACTGGGCACCGAGCATAGATTTCTTCACGATTTTATAGAGTCGAAATTCGGACAGGCTACTACTCAAGTCGAGACTCGAGAGTAATTACGCGTTGGTCGGAGGTGCTTACGATATGACGCGTTTCTCGACTTCTGGGCCGTCGCCTCATAACATGTACTGCTGTCCAACTTGTCCGTACAAGTACTTTGGCTTGTGCCTCTCTGGGTGTTTACTCATAGAAAGGAATCATATGTGAAAAGCATGAACACCCCAACCAGCACCAAAATCCGTTTGGTCGTCTTTGACCTTGACGGTGTTCTGTTCTCGTCGAAGGACCTGCACTATGTGGCTCTCAATCGAGCGTTGGAGATCGTCGGCCCCAAGTATGTGATCAATTATGAGGACCATTTGGCCCACTTTGACGGCCTTCCCACTAAAACGAAGCTGGATAAGCTCACTACTGAGCGGGGATTGGTAAGAGCCCCTTCGTTCCGTGGAAGCAAAGCCTCCAAGCGCTTCTTGTTCCCTAGTACTCTGTGCTCATGTCTCTTCATTTGGGTCGGCCTATTTTAGCCGGTGTCGAAACATGGAATGATCTGGGATCTGAAGCAACAGAAAACTTTCGAAGTGATTGCTGATACGTTTCAACCCGACGTTCGACTTCGAGCCGTTTTGCAAGGCCTCAAGGATGCTGGGTATCTCATCTACTGCGGTTCCAACAGTATTTATAAGACCATTGAGGTAAGCAAATACTCGACTCAATCAAACACGCCTTTTTGCGGGAAGCTGATTTGGGAGCTCTCCACAGCTCATGCTCCGCAAGAAAAATGTCCTCGATCTCTTTGACGCGATCATTAGCTGTGAAGATGTTACGCAACCCAAACCGAGTCCGGCCATTTACCTATGTGCGTGTCTGCGGGCCGGAGTCTCTCCAAAGGAAACTATCATCCTGGAAGATTCTCAGGTCGGACGCAAGTCTGCTCTTCTTTCCGGATGTCACCTCCTTCCAGTTGATGTTCCTGAAAACGTTACACTAAAGAGTATCCTCAATGCAATTGGTGCTATTAACCGGTCCCAAGAAAATCAAGTTATGCGGGTGAAATGGCGGAGCCCCTTGAACGTGGTCATTCCTATGAACAAGAGGGTGACACGCGTTGAGCGCTCCACTTTTGAATCATGTGTCGGCTCTGAAAGCGGGCCTCGGGTCACGACGAAAGAGGACCCAACCACTACATGCCCCTCGTACTTGGCCCTGGTCAACGGCTGTCCTGTGCTCCAGCTGGCAGTCGAGAGTCTGCACGTAGACGCAAATTTCATCTTTGTAGTTCCACGCCGGGATTATGAAGAATATCACTTAAAGTACCTTTTGGCCGTACTGAAACCCAACTGCAAGGTGCTCGTGGCTGAAGAAGAGACTCTGGGACAAGCAGCCTCGGTGCTCTTAGCGAAACAGTACATAAATGATTCCACTCCACTCCTCATTGCCAACTGTACCCAACTCCTGGACTGGGACTCGCATACCTTCTTATATCTCATGGATGAACCGGGAGTACAAGGCGGGATAGCAACCGTGGTTCGTTCCGATCCTCGTTATTCATACGTAAATGTGAACGAGAAGGGGTGGATCGTGGATGTTGCAGAGAAGCGAGTGATCTCCGACATTGCCACTGCCGGTGTTTATTATTGGCGGAGTGGATCCGACTTCGTCAAATACTCAGAAGAGATGATGCGGGACCCCAAAAACATGGTCGACGGAGCGTACTACGTGAGTACAGCGTACAAAGGAGCTGTCATCGACGGAATGCACTTCAAAGCTGTCCCATGTAATGGGTACTGGCCTTTGGGCCTCCCGGAGGATGTGGAAGCTTACCTGAAACAGACCAATACGGAAGAATGACCAGAGATGCAGGACAACGTCGAAAGCCTGTAATTTGTAGCTCTGCTTGGATGGGGCGTCTTGATTATCGCCATGCAGTGTTGTTTATTGAACTTAGCGCCTGGAACACTGATTTCCCCGGTAGAAATCACTTCTGAGAGCAAGGTTATGCCCATGTACAAACAAAATATAACTAAATAGAGGAATGTCTACATAAGCACTTTTAATAATATCTTGGAAGTGTATCACAGATGCGTTCGTGACACAGGCCTGCACCCGCCCAAAACAAAGTGATTGTCACGACTAATTAGCGGCCATTGTTCTCTACTACATCCACGGTCACACACTCTGTGGGTTGCATTCTCCAGCTCGATCTACCGACCTGGAACTTCGATACGGTCAGTGTTCCAAAGAAGACGTCTTGCCATGCGTCGCTTGCGGCAATCAGGTGCTCGGGCGATACATCCGCGGAAAGACGCAAAATGGTTGAGTGCACAATGTCGTTTTGATACCGCCGAAATGGCAATCCTTCCTTCTCCAAGCGGCTTTCTATTCGCTGCCGCCAGATATTCACGTCCACCGATGGGTATCCGAGCATGACAAGGCCGGTTGACACTGCCACCAAGCCAGACCACTTGATTGTGAGGGGTAACAAGGTTGCCATTTCTTCCCGCAAGATGGCAAGATACTTTGACTGATGACAAGCAAATGTAGCACTGTGTTCCTCCCACTGTTCAAAACCAAGGATCTGCATAAATGTCCAATGAACGAACGAAATTGGGCCAGCAACGTCGTAGATGTTCTGGTTGCCCAATTCTTTGGCCAGGTATGTGTTCAAAGCTGACCAGGCAGGTGTCGGAGCAAAGTCATCGTAGTACGTATACACTGCAAGGCACCTCCGTTCGTCTATGAGAGTATGGTGCAGAAGCTTATCCACAATCAATGGGTTGATGTAGTCGCTTTCTTTTTTGGTGCGATGCCCCACAAGCTTCTTTCTGTTCCGTGTCCGCATTTCGACATACGTAGCGTACAGTGTGGCGAAGTCTGTGCATATGCCATAGCAGTTCCAAATGCCAGTTTGATGATCCGATCTTTCAGGCATGACCGAGATTGCTCCTTTTACCAACTCCCTGCCGGGATATGTCCAGATACGGCCATCGGACGTTATAACGTGCGGGTCGATATCGTGTGAGAAAGAACGCAATACATCACGACGGCTCAGCAGATATGCCAGTGCATGTACATTCTTTGCATGACACCACAAATTACCAGCGTACTGGTCAAGGAACGAAGGTTCTATAGGAATCTCCGGCTCGTCGTGGCCAAAAAAGAGTTGGCCTGAATGGCGGTGCGAATGATGAATTCATTCATGTTAAGACATGAACCAGCCGTCATATTAGAGTCAGATGTGAAACCGTGCGCCTACCGTCTATGCTCCACACGTCCACCTCTACATCAAAACCCTGCGCAATGGCGTCCTGTATATACGGTAGCGTATTTTCCAATTCCTTCCTCGGCCCACGCGTATTGCCTCGGTGGGCAATAATGACTGGAACTTCTCTACCTCCAGCAGTTTCGGCGGTGTCGGCCAACATGACAGAGTTTTGCATGAATTTAGCAGGAGTCCTTGCGATTGATGTTCCGTATTGGCGAATGACACGCGGTATTGTATAGGCAGCGACGAGGCCATCACGCGTCAGCTATAGTTAGGTAAGCTTACGTACTTGAAGCGGTAAAGCGCGTTCGACCTTGGGGGACCATATGCCGATGGTTTAGGGGTAACGCGTCCGCGTCCACGCTCACACTCTACTTCTTAAGCTCACCCGCTTCCTTGCTCGCGCTACTTGCATCCAAGCTATTCCAACCATATAAACCCTCCGCACTGCTTTTGTTCACATCCGTACGATGCTTTCCTCCACCAGCACTCCCCAGATGGCTGTCCCCAAGGTATGTCCAGCTAGGATCTAATGGAGCACACGGCTGCGCAGCCAGTACCTGGCGTCTCGCATATGCACTCATTCGCTAGCTGCGTACATAATAGACTGATCTTTTCTTAACCTTTCCACGCAGATCAACATTCTCATCCCCATGGCCGGCGCAGGCAGCCGATTTGCCAAAGCTGGATACAAGGATCCAAAGCCTCTCATCCCCGTCCGCGGCAAGCCCATGATCCAGGTTGTCGTCGACAATATGCGCGTCCCCGACGCGCACTTCATCTTTGTCGTCCAGCGAGAGCATTATGCACAGTACGATTTGGGAAGAAAACTTAGCGCGATCGCTCCCGGTTGCGACATCGTCCAGATTGATGGCCTCACAGAAGGCGCAGCCTGCACCGTACTAAAGGCAAAGTCTTTGATCGACTCGGACGTACCCCTTTTGACCGCCAACTCCGACCAGTTCTTGGAATGGGACGCGGCCGAGTTCGTGGCCAGCATGACCGACGGTGTAGACGGGGTTGTCTCTACCTTCATCAAGGACGAACCTGATGTCAAGTGGTCCTATGCTAAATTGGACGAATATGGCCACATCCAAGACATCCAAGAGAAGAAACCCATCTCCAACATTGCCACAACAGGTATCTACATGTGGCGAAAGGGATCGGATTTTGTTCGCTACGCGCAGCAAATGATGGACGCCGGTGACAAGAGCAACGGGGAATATTATGTAGCCCCAGTCTACAACTACGGCATTCGCGATGGAAAGAAATATATCACCAAGCATTGTGACCGGATGTGGGGAATTGGAGTTCCAGACGACTTGAACTTCTTTTTGGCGGAATACAAGAAGCCCTTGATCCGTCCACAAATTGTCGACGGTACAGCGGTTTTCTGACCTGTACATCCTCATTTATGACGGATAATTGTATTGTATCATACCTGTATTCAAGGGTGTACAAAATGAATAAATGTAATCGATGCCACGGGAACGTCACCGGAGAGTTGGCGTTTGCTTGTTATTGTATAGCCACAGTATTAATTACGAACATCGTCTTAATAATGTAACAAGTTACATAGCATAATGTATACTGCCACAGCCAGATATGGCAGACCGCTATCCCCGCCGGCTTCTTTCAAGGTCCCATCCGTATGGGACCTTTCCCACTGTATCATCTGCTTTTTTGAATTTCGGCTCGACATTTGAAAGTTCCTCGGGAGATTCATGACGGCGAAGGATTGTCATTGGCGCCATATCGTAACCGATCTTTTGCGCACGCAGGCGATACAAGATAAGTTTGAGGTGGTTCTCAACACCACGAAAGTCAAGTAAGCGACTTACCACCGTTTTGGCTCCCGCCCGCACAAGCAGATCGTGCATGCTAGTCTCTGGGTTTGGCAGACTTTCGTTTCGCGACCACATGTTGAGCAAATCATCCAGTCCCGGCCTGATATTCTGTGCCACTGAGAATGGAATCCAGACAAATTGGTCGTTAAACTGACGGGAGGTGTTGGCGCGATGATCCAACCCGAACAGAAAGCCGGCATGGTACGCGCGGCGAGGGTGGGCTCCAGAGCCAATTTCGTAAAGTACGATATCCTCGGAACTCCGTGGAAGTCGGAAAAAATGATAAGGCAACACGTCCCCTCTTGTTATGAGAAGATGGGTGTACGGCTCGCCGCATTGGGTGAGGGCATGGTCGACAGCGAGCCGGATGGCTGTTATCCAGGATCTGAACTGTTCCAGATGGCGAGAGGCAAACTGATTCGCAATGAAACGACCGTCGGATAAGTAAAAGGGTACGACTTCCGGGATACCGTGTTCCGCCAACATGGCTTGCGTCTGCGCCATATTCTGTATGTAGGTCCCCAAACCCTTGACTTTGCCGTTCCCAAAGAAAGATTCAAGCACTTGCAATGTGACTAGCTCAGAATCAGGTCCGTCATCATCCCAAAAGCGGTGTGGACCAAAGTAGAAAACGTCCATCGATGGTTGTACTGGATCGTCCAAAGCGTAACGCCGCCAGAAGGGCGCTGTAGATCGGACTGTTCGAAGGTAGCCAGAGAAAACCAAGGCCACTTTTGAGCACTTATTAGTGCCATATGACTCCGGAGGACGACCACCCAATGTGCGGATCGCAGAGTCGAGATGCGACTTGCCTAGGTGCGACGCGGAAAATAGAATCAAGGCCAAACAAACCACTGCCGAGAATCTCCTGGCAGCTACGAATTTGAGCCGTTGAAGAAGTGCGGTGCGTGTGGCGAGCATGGATCCGTGGGTGGATTGGGACTGGCTTTGCTACGTGTTGATGGGCAGAAACTGCGTCCTCTCATCCACGCGAAGCGCAGCAGGCCGACGTGTTACCTAATCAAACATTGACAGCCATCAACGCACGACGGAGCATTCGGGGGCCAATACAGCGGCACCTACATAGTTATTAGAGAGGCACCGAGTTGAATTCTGCCATTGAGGTAGAGCTATATAGGATGTGGCGACCAGATGAAATCCAGCCGAGGAACGGTAATAAGGTCAGAATCACTACGTAGTACACTTCAACAAGAGAAAGACCTAACCAGAGGGGACTTCGCGTTCAGGAGGTCTTTGGTACAGTCAACAAGCACCATGCAGAAGGGTGGAACCTAAACTCTTCGTCAAACTGTCCACCTCCAAGGAAGTTTGGGGCATTCCACTGAAGTTTTAGTCAACAGGAACTGAGTGCAACTTCACAACACAACTCTGGTAGTCTCAAGCAGCCTTTATAGGGGTCGCATATGAGGAAGTCTTTTCTAATCCTTTATTGAATATGTAATATTACGCACAGACCGAGTTCTCATAAACCTCCAGTCCTGCAACGACCGCCCAGGGACGCGCCTTCTGTACCTCCTCATGTCCAGCAGCGCTTCTTTTACGGCTTGTGCATACAGATGGCACATCTCCTCCGTCCCACTAGCGATTAAATCCGCCCCAGGAATCAATAGTTTTCTGGCGTCGCAGTTGTAATGGTAACGAAACCCTGTCCCATATCGGTTATCGAGATATGGTAGCAGATCGATAACTTTACCACAATGCACGGGTTGACTCTTACGTTCCACTTCCTCTATTGTACATAATGGACCGAGCAGCCGCGAGGCATTCCCACTAGGAGATGAAGCAAGCGAAGTAGTAGGAATCGGCATCTTCGTATTCCCAACGAGAAAGGAGAGGATCATAATCTCCCAGGTCTTCGATCATATCCCGTTTGAGCAGCCATCGATGAATGGGGTGTGCGAGCTCGTACACCTCGGTCCTCTTTAACGGTTCGAACACCGGGTCCAATTGGCAGTTTCATTGACCAAATGCGGGACCCTATAGGGGATGAGAATGCCAACCCTTGAGCTGTCATGTGTGATCAAATCTTTGAACCAGCTTCTCGGAAATTTCACGTCATCATGAACCTCGAGAATCAGTGGTACGATGGCCTTGTGCTGTTCCGGTGTTTTCCGTCAAAAATCTCGTGCATTATTTGTATCTGTGGGAGGACAATGCCCAGATTGCTGGTGTTGATAATGCGATCACATTGCGGACGAGGGTCAATCCAACCTCGCTCTTCATCAAAGTCGACGTCGTCGACGGCGAGAAATTTGTGCCAGAAGAGGTCCGGCAGAGCAGACTTGAATTCTGATGAAATGTCTGCATATGGCGCATTGCTGAAAGCACATACGTCCAGTTCTGCGAGCTCTGTAATGTCCGACGTGGCCAGTGAGGTTAAGGACATCAAGAGTCGACCGTTCACTTAACAACAGTGAAACCTTTAAACGAGGACAAAAAGTCTCCTTTTAGCCGTGCCATTTGTTGTCATGCGCTGTTTGACTAGTACCAACTTACGGCGATGCGCAATTTGGGAGACATTGGAAGTGGGTATCAATCATATCAATGACGGGTAATGCCGCTTTGAACGACCTCCTTGATAAACTCCACCACGGTGTGGACGCTATCAAGCACACAGCGCACAGCAGAGCAATGAATCTCGGAAGCGTTGCGTGGCGGGGCCCCAAGTACCCGACAACATTATGCATAGAAGGAGCACAGTTGTAGAGTCGTGTCATTAGTCTCTTAGGACCGGGGGCCATGGAGAAAACATATGTCGCTAGCAGGATGGAGACGTTCACCTCGAAAACGATCGTGTTGGTCCGGCAAGACTCGTCGGGAACACTGTGCCCGCCACTTACACAAATGTTAGAATGGATGAGCCCAAGGAGCATGCCTTTGTTTGCTTACGTTGATGAAGTCGAGCACATCCAGCTTTGAATCCACATACATTGAATCTACGTGCCAGTCATGCAAATCATATGCCATTGACTATTGACATAATTAGTGAAACTTGCAAGGAACTCATCCGCTGCATTGATCTCCAGTCCCTCGGTAAGTTTTTCCAACTCTTCATATACGGCGGTCATTGCATCTACCAATGTACAAGCCTCGGATTGATCACCAGCACATTGGCATTGGCCACTGCATTCCTTTTTTTCCCGAAATATTCTGATTTGCATCTGCAATACTTTCCTGGTTTTGCATTGCATACTTTCGAAATATGTCCGGTCCAGGCCCCTCTCGTAAATGACACAGCTGCTTCCATTTCACTGAATACTCGAAGTAGGTCACAGGTCACCCAAAAGTCGATCGACGCCATGCACGCTGCTGGTGTAAAACCGCGCCTGGTCCAAATGATTGAGATGAAGAACCTACACGGAACATCGCCAAACAGCCAAGGGAATGTATGGGATCATCGGGAAAGCAGACAAAGCTCCATATCCGTAAGGTCATTGACTACAAGCGGATCATATACCTTGACTCTGAGTAAGTTTTCATGGACGACGTTTTGCGGTGCTTCTGGAACCTGACTTTTGATCATATCCATATACTCTAGCACTATCATCTTGCGGAATGTGGACTCTCTCTTCTCCCTCCCCAAATACTCACTCTACTTGCCATCCATTATGATGGTCATTGAGCCACATCGGTACCTGTTTTCGAGACTCATGGAGGTCGCAGACAAGATGGAGGCCGGGGGTGCTGCCACATATGACATGGATCTTATCAATAATGCCTTTGGAAATGTATCTGGCATGCTCCTAGGCTCGGTCGAACTTCTCACACAGGATTTGGGGAACCCCACTGAGAAAACACACTGGTTCCCATGGTGGATTGTGGATCAAGTGGTCACCTTCACATACGCAATTCACTTTTCTTCTGGCCCCCTTGGTAACCTAAAACCTAGGGCGGCAAACAGGAAAGATATCAACTGGCCTCAAGGACAGCATCCCATGTATCAAAGTGCTTTTGAGATCTGGTGGGATGTCGCCGAGAAACTTTGCTCACCGAACCGAAGCTTGCGCGGCTGGGCACAGAATGAGTTCTAAGGGTCTGAAGGTAAGAGGCGGAGCAGTAGCGACCCAGTTGCGTTGTTTTCCCCCACAAATAAATTCAGGCGAGTTGACAAGAATATTTGGAGTAGATGTCTTTGCCAACAGCACGTCTTCAGATATAGTTGTCATGTGTTCTCTCTTTTGGTACATTACAAGTGGACCCTGCACATATTGTTCAACACTGCCTACTAGCTTGGGTCCGTACCGGTATTTGACGAGTCTCTTAATACACACCAGATTTGGCTTCCTGCTACTGAAGATACGATGACCTCCCATTTTCGCCATAACATTTTTGAACTGAACTCGAAGGTGTGTCCCGGCCTTCCAGACCCAACTCTCCTCTCGGGTGCATCTAGTGCATATACACAAGGAACAACGAACTTGCGTTAGTGCAGCCACATAATGTGCAAACAGACCCTAATTTAGATAAAAGAGTGCGGCGAACTAGAGAGACTGCTAAGGTTGTTACACACAGATGATATTTATTTTCCCAAGCATTATATCTTCACACAATCACAAAGTATGGTACACTCAATAACGGGCACTAATCCAAGTCTTTGCCTCCTTGACAAAAGACCGATGAACCAAGAAAATATCGACCGTGGGATGGGTGTCGGACCATGCCTTAAACTCCGATGGCCGCACTGCCGGTTCCCCCAAGAAGCTGTTGTACACTTTGCCGGTTTCCGTAGAATCTTTTGCCTTGGCTTCGTGAGTGAACCAAGACGTCCGAATTTCATAACCGTAGCCATCGAGTAGCGTTAGAATCCCTGTCGGATCATCACCCAAAAGGCGAGCTTGAAGTGAGGGTATGTACTCCATCATAATCATGGGCGGTCTGTTATCGGTTGCAAAAAGAGATTTTTCGCCACCCTTCAGCACTTCGCTTTCAAAGCCTTCGACATCCATTTTCATGACACCAAATTCGCCCGCACGCCGGTCGTCCTGTACAATCCCATCAAGAGTGTGAATGGAAACATCGGCGCGGACGCCGTGCTGGTCGGCTACTGGCTTCTTGCTGTCCTCGCCGCACTGAAGGATGCCATTTCCATGGTTTTCGTTATGCGAGATGATACGACACTCGTCGGGTTGTGCGCCAAGGCCCATTGCATAATAGTCAACATGACGGGCCAAGTCTCGGTTAGCACAGAGAGATCGCCGGATAAGGTACTAGAAACAGCCAAAGTAGAGGGGTCAGCGTTCAATACATTTTGCTCAAAACTTCAAGCCTGTACATTGGAATTACCTCATTCTGGGGCATCGGTTCAAAAACTGCCACGCGATGCCCGTGCGCAGCAGCCGTGACTGTGTACCACCCGACATTGCCTCCAATATCGAGGAACGTTGCTCGATCTTGTCCCCTCACGTCGTTCGCAAGCTTCAGAGCCCAAAGCACTTGTCTTGTTGCTGCGTGTTCCCACACGCCTGTGCGAATGATGATGGCCGATACGGCATCCATGCCCGTGTCATACAGTGTCAGCTTGTAGGATACCCCATCCAAATCGATGGTCTTTTCAACGGTCTTGTCGGGAAGCGGGGTCACCGCGGCGGTGCGGCAAAATGCGTTTTGCTCAATGGCTAGGAGCAGAAGAAGGTAAACCATTAATCGACTGTTTAACAATGTGAAGAAACAGCGTGGCTGCGCGATCCGCACTTACCTGCACGGGTGCGCCAAGCTATCTTATTTTCATACCAACTTTTAGGCATACCAAAGCTTGTTCTGGTAATCTCCGTCGGACGACCCCAGGGGACGGAAACGAACAAGAGGAAGGCCACGGCTGCCAGTGCGAACCACATGCGAGGTGAGCGAAAGTGGTTGCTCGAGAATGCCATAGTGAGTAGTGGGTAGTGGGTAAAGAAAAGAGAACCCAAGGTTTTCGGTTGTCAGAAATATTAACTTTTACTGACTGGTCGTTGGTGCTGTCTGGGCTGGGTAGAAGGATGGCCAGGAATCTTCAGTTTGTTAAAAGACGGGCAAACGCGACTCGCGTCGCGTTACATAATCTCCACTGGCCCAACCCCGACTCCAGCCCAGTCGCGTTAATCGCCCGTTGAACACTCAACTAGAGCGGACTTTCTAGTAACGCGAGTGTCCCCCCTGGGCCCCCTCGCCAATATATGCGACACAACTAATGATTACGCTAGCAAAATCCCCACACAGTCAGACATGGAGCACGAAAAATAGCAGGGGTGTTCACCCCCCGGCATTCTGGGACTGGACAAGGAAGGCGTAATTGCTAGAGGGTGAGCATTCCATAACGAACGTTTCCTTCCCTCCGAAGCTAGTCGTAAGGTAAGAATCAAATCATCTCGATATGGCATCTGCGACCCTTGAGCCATAGACTGCAACGTGGAGTGTGGCAATCAACCGTTGGGAGAGTTAATACCGTCCGTCAATATCATTCGGGAGGACTAACTAGCCTACGAGGGACCAGTCAATATGCCAATCATGTGTTCATCCAAAATGGTTTACCCTATTTGCGGTTGCATTTCGTTAAGGATGGTCAAGTTCCATGCAGGTGCAAGGGTTCAGCAATGTTTGATGTGTCTTTTATTCAGCTTTTATGCGGGAATAGATGGAGAGGGAAAGGGAGATTTGAGGGATTCGGTGGAGGAAGGAGTTGTCGTGGCCTTAGCATTTATAACCTGATTTATTCGGGGTGGTTTCCCCACTGCCAAATCTCCAATCTTCCACTCTCAAGCTCCCCACCCCAGCCGTATCACCATACATGCATCATAAAGCAATATATTTCTCCCAGCTCAAAATCATATACAATAAAGCACGTATAACCACAGAAAACACAAACCACATCAACCGAACCACCGAACCTAAATCTCTATTCTACAGCCGCCCTGGACACTGACACCGCCGATCAACTACT